GGGTGGGGGGGGAATTGGGGAAAGGATTTAACACGGGAATGGAGGTGGGTTGGGCGAGGTGGGGTGGGGGGTGGGAATGTGGAGGCGGGGGGGGAGAAGAGCGCTGGGAGACTACTTCCACGCTTCGTGGGTCATGCCGACTGGGGTCAGAGATGGAGGAAGGCGGTGGCGGAGGGTGGTAGATTGGATCAGTCCCGTCTCGTCCCTACGGATGCCCCCTCCCTACAAAAGGGTAAAGGTGGGGGGGGGGGGTTGATGGGCGAATGAGCTCCCTCTTGGAGTTTACCCGGCGTGATCTTAACCCCCGCCCCGCTCGATAAACACTGAATCCTTTCTTAGCCTGCGCAGGTCAAACTCCGCTCCCTTTTGGCTCGTGATCCCCCACCCCCTCCCCCACTCCCCCAACTCCGTTCTCCGCACGGGAGAAAGTGGGGAATCGGGGGAAGCGGATGAAACGGGGCAGTTCCCCCCAACACCCCCCACCCCTAGGGAAGTTGGGCGAAACGTCCGTGGGACCCCGCGCGGCGGAAGAGGACAAGGTTGGCGGTGGAGGAGTGGGGGAGGGAGGCCGCGCGTCAGCCCTCCCCGGGCGCCTGGGCACCCCCGCCCCCGGGAGGGCACTGGTGCCCGTGGAGCCCGGCCGAGGTGCCGAAGCTGGCCCCGCAGTCGGCGCAGACGCGCGGCCCCTCCCAGGCGTGGACCCTCTGGTGCCTCCCCAGGACGGAGGCCCGAGAGAAGCCGCGCTGGCAGACCGGGCACTTGTGGGGCCTCTCCCGGCTGTGGGTGCTGCGGTGCTGGGCCAGGGTGGACGACTTGGTGAACCCTTTGCCGCAGAGCGGGCAGCGGAAGGGGCGCTCGCCGGCGTGGGCCCGCTGGTGCTGCAGCAGGCTGGAGGAGTGGCGGAAGGCCTTGGGGCACTGCGGGCAGCGGAAGGGGCGCTCGCCGGTGTGGGTGCGCTGGTGGCTGCGGAGGCTGGAAGGCTCACTGAAGCCCTTCTGGCAGTCGGGGCAGCGGAAGGGCCGCTCGCCCGTGTGGGTGCGCTGGTGGATCACCAGGATGGACGACTGGCTAAAGGCCTTGCCGCAGAAGGGGCAGGGGAAGGGCCGCTCCCCGGTGTGGGTCCTCTCGTGGCGCCGCAGGCTCGACAGCTCGCTGAAGGCCTTGGCGCAGACCCGGCAGGAGAAGGGCCGCTCCCCGGTGTGGGTCCTCTCGTGGCGCCGCAGGTTGGACAGCAGGTTGAAGTCCTTGCCGCAGACCCGGCAGGAGAAGGGCTTCTCCCCCGAGTGCACTCGCAGGTGCTGCTTGAAATTGGAATACTTGTCGAAGCTGCGGCCGCACTCGCTGCAGATGTAGCTCTTCCGGCAGGGGGGGCGGCGCCGGGGCGGGCGGCGGCGCCGGCTCTCGGCCTCCGCCTGGGCCGCCCACTCCTCCAGCGCCTCGGCTGGGCCGAAGCTGGAACCAGAGTGATCCTCTTCCTCCTCCTCATCTTCGTCCTCCTCCCCTTTTCCCACAGAGTCCTCCTTCAGAGAGAGAGAGAGAAAGAGAGTGAGGGGGAGACGGAGAGGAAGAGCGAGAGAGAGAGATAGCACAAGGAGAGGGAGAGAGATAGCACAAAGAGGAGAGAAAGAGAGATAGCACAAGGACAGAGAGAGAGAGAGAGATAGCACGAGGAGGAGAGAGAGAGAGTGTGCGTGGGGGGAGATGGAGAGAAAGAGCTAGAAAGAGAGAGAGAGAGATAGCACAAGGAGGAAAGGGTAGAGAGAAAGAGACAGGGACAGAGAGAGATGGGGAAGGAGCGGTACGGGGAAGGAGAGAGAGAGAGACAGAGAGAGAGAGACACACAGAGAGTGTGCGTGAAGGGGAGACAGAGGGAAAGAGAGGCGGAGAGACACAGCGATGGAGAAAGAGTGGGACAGAGAAAGACATAGCGAGAGAGCAAGAGAGACAGAAAGAGAGAGACAGAGAATGAGAAAGAGATAGAGAGAGTGTGGGTGAGGGGAGACAGAGAGAGAGACAGGGGAAGAGACAGGGACAGACAGAAAGAGGAAAAAGAGAGAGACAGAGTGAGATAGAGAGACAGAGAGAGTGTGCGAGAGGTGGGAGGCGGAGAGAAAGAAAGAGAGCGAGAGAAAGAGGAAGAGAGAGAGAGAAGGAGAGGGACAGACAGCGCGAGAAGGAGAAGAGAGGGAGACACACATAGCAAAAGCAAAATAAAGAGAGAGAGAGAGATTGAGGAGCACACACAGAGAGGGTGTGAAACACAGGCCTGTAATCGGATGAAGACCGTGAGGAATAGGATGAGGCGATTCGGCCTCTCAAAACCGCGCTTTAATTTAGTCGCATCCAACATTCCTCACGGCCCCTTTCCCGCCCCTTTGGCCCTGGTTCCCCGGCCCCTTTCCCCCAGTTCCCCAGCCACCACCCCCCCCCCCCCCCCCCCCCCCCCCCCCCCCCCCCCCGGTTCCCCGACCCCTTTCCTGTCCTTTCCCCCTGGTTCCCCGGCCGATGGAGAATCTGTCTCGGCCTTCAATACCCACAGACACCCTTCCACCACCCCCCCAACCCCGCAACAACCCCTACCGACCCCACACACACCCAGCCCCCTGCGGCAACGCATGCCACGGATCCCCATCCCTTGTAAACCTTTTCCAAGGGCCATCAGTGACCTCCTATTCCCCTTGTTTCGGCCATTCGGCATGTTACCACCGTGGGGAGACTGACCTGTATCTCTGTGGAGCTCTCAGCCACTGGTTCCATCTCGAAGTCTCTAGAGAGAGTGAGTGAGAGAGAGAGAGGGAGAGGGGGAGAGAGAGGCGGGGGAGGGAGGGGGAGAGGGAGAGAAGGAGAGACAGAAAAGAGAAATGGAGAGGGAGAGGGAGAGGGAGAGGGAGAGAAAAGAGAGATAGAGAAGGAGAGAGGGAGAGAGAGAGAGGGGGAGAGGGGGAGGGGGGAGGGGGAG